CTCCAGCCTCTGCAGCAGCTTGGCCATCACCACCTTCACCTCCATCTGGGCCGCCCAGGGAGGGCGGAGGGCGGCGTCAGGGTGGGGGTGGGGGTCCCGCCACCCTGCCCACCTCTGGCCCCTCCTCCCCCGCGGGGCCCCACACCTCCTACCTGAGCAAACTGCTGCCCAATGCAGGATCGAGGCCCCAGGGAGAAAGGGAAGTAGGTGAATCTCGGCCTATGGGGAGAAAGGCGTCAGAGGGGACAAGGACAAGGGGCTCTGGCCTCTCTAAAATCGTTGGCATAGGCCCCTGGAGGGCGCAAATGTAGGTGCTTGACTGCCAACCTGAGGTTGGTGGTTCAAACCCTGCCAGTGGTGCGGAGGAGGAAAAGGCCTGGCTTCATTGAGCACTGCAACTTAGAACCCTATGGCGTCTTCCACTGCAAACGGCGCTGGGACCACTGACCTGGCCAAGCTCTGGCTCCGCATGGGCCCCTCCCACTGCCTCCCTGAAGGAGCTGTGCTCAGAGATCCTGAGTCCCTGCCCAAGGCCACCTATTGATCACTCCTCCCTGAACTGGCCACTCTGGGCAGAACCTGGAGATGGACTTGGGTGTCCGGCCCCTGAGTCCTCCTCTCCCTACCACTGCCCTCAGTCTACCAGGGACCTGGGCACATGACCTGACCTAACCTCTCTGTGATGCCCAGGTCTGGCCAGGTAGAAGGAACACTGGCCCCTTCACAGGGCTGGGGGCCACGTGAGCCGAGGGGTGGGGCTCAGACCAAAGGCAACTGTGGCTGTCCTCCTTCCAGGCCTACACTTGGGAGGGGGGCAGCGGCGTGAGGAGGGGCTTACTTGGGCGCTCCAGGGCCGAAGCGGTCGGGGTTGAAAGTCAGGGGGTCCTCAAAGTACGTGTCCATCCGCCCCATGACATAAGTGCTGAACTGTCGGCAAAGATGTGCAGTTCCAACCGGACCATCCCCCACCTCCCGCTCCCCGAGGCCACTGAGTCCCAATGAGGTGACCACAGCAGGTAGCCACTCCCATTACCTAGTCTCTTCCCACCATCCATCCCTCCACCCAACCATCTCTCCACCCACCCACCGTTCTCCCTTTCCACCTACCATCTGTCCACCTGCCCAGCCTCCACCCACCATCTCTCGAAGGTTCCTACACCTACCATCTCTCCACTCACCTTTCCATCTACCTACCCACCCCTCCACCCATCATCTCTCTGTCCACTCACCTACCTCTCCACCTCCCCACCCCACCTTCCACTCTCCTACCCATCATCTCTCTTCCCACCCCCCTACCTCTCCAGACAGGGTGGGGTTCTACTGGCCCCTGGCGAGCCCGTAAGAGGAAGAAAGAGTCCCCAAAGTGCCAAGTGCTCGTGATGCCACCACACTAAGCTCTCCCTATCGTACAGAAGAGACTGAGGCTCCGGGAGAGTCTGAGACGGCGCAGGGTTATCAGACAGAAGATGCAAATTCAGAGCTGAGTCTGCGAGGCCACCTTTCTCCAGACCCCTGCGTTCTGGTTAGTCAAAGTCCTCTCCAGTTCCTGTCTCACCTTGCTGGGTGGGAGGGGACCCCCACACAGTGGCCCCTGGCTGTGGCTGTGGCTAGTGCCCTGAACCCCTGGCCTCCACACACCTGCGGCCTATCCATCATCAAACTCGGGATGCTGCCCTCTGCCACTTCACCTTGCAGAGGTGGGTAGAAGCCTGGGCCCTTGGCCCTTGGCCACCCTTTGGGTCTGGAAATGAACACGCCCCCGGGACTCAGTGGTCAGCAAACCACAGACAGGTCTGTGCTAGTGAGGACAAGGCCCTGAGGGAGGCTTCCCACCTGAGAATCACCGGTCATGAGGCCACCCGGGATAGAGGTGAGAGGGTTAGGAATGGAGGAGGTAGGGAAACAGGATGTATGGGGAGGAAGGAGGGTGAGGGGTGGTCCACCGAGAGGCTGGCCAGCAGTGACAGGAAGCAAATGCTGTCTGGATGGAAAACTGCTTGTTCCCCCACTCGCTCGTTCACTTGCTCGCTCACTCACTCACTCACTCAGCCTTCGTTCACCATCAGCACGTGGTAAGCTAGCCACAGGCCACCGTTCCACCGAGCCATGGGGCCAGCCAGCGGCAGCCCCACATCAAAAGCCACACAGCTTCACTGCCACTGTGCTGAGTCTCAAAGCAAGTTCGAGAACCGGATGGGAACGTCCAGCCGGCAGGCCAGACCAGGTCCATGAAATCAATACCAATTCACACCACGTGCCTCACCAAGGGCACAGTGGCTCCAGCCACCGCATGAGGCAGGGGTTCACTTGCTGATTGGCCAGAGAGAGCAGGCTGGTGTAAGCCGGTCATCTTGTCTCATCCGTGAAAGATGTGATAAATAGCCAAATGGCCCTTGGCAGAAACAAGGTCTCCCTGCTCTAATCTAGGACACAGGGTGTGTGTGTGTGTGTGTGTGTGTGTGTGTGTGTGTGTGTGTGTGTGTAGCAAGGAGGATGAATGGCCACCACAAAACTCAGGCGGAACTTCACGGGGGAGGGGGACATGCAGGAACATCTAGTGGGGAGCTAGAGGTGCTCACGCTGAATGAAACAATAGGAGTGGAGGGTCCTCTCCAGGGGGCTGGGGAGAAGAAGCAGAGCAGAGGGAATCAGTACAAATCATCTGCACGTCTCCCATAGGTGCCTCTCTGGCTGTGTGACTTCTGAAAAGTGACCTAGCCTCTTGGAGCCTCGGTCTCAGCTCTGGACGGGCAGACCCTCTTGTCCTACATGGGGCAGCGTCACCCCAGGCAGAGGCCTGCCAGGGACACTGAGACACAGAATCCCTAACCCCAGAGACACAGAATCCCTAACCCCAGGAGGGGGTGGGTGACCCCAAAGCAGGCACGCACCAGGAGCGGAGTGTTGCCGGGAACACGGACCCCATCAATCAGAGTCTCCTCCTCCAGCCGGCGGAAGGTGCCCCAGGCGGGCGGGTACAGGCGCAGTGACTCTTTGAGGACCTGTAGAAGCCACACGGGGAAGCAAGCTGAGATGGGGGGGGGGGCCCTGTGGGGAGATGGCATCCCCGGACTCCTCTCTGTTCCCTCTCACAGTGCTGAGTGTGCCCTTAGGTTCCCTGGGAATAGGTGTGGGGCCACCTCAAGGTCTCACCTTCTCATCAAACCCCTTGAGTGACAGATGGGAAAGGTGGGGCCCAGAAGGAGAAGGGAGCTGTGAAAGGACCCAGTGGGAACAGGATCCAGGATCTTTCCTCCGAACCAGGGCCCACCATCCCAGAGAAGCCAGCTTGGCTTTGGCTGGCCTGAGCCTGCCCCTCCAAGAGCAACCAAGACATGCGCGGCCAGCCCCCACCCCCCACCCCCGTGTCCTAGTGCTGCCCAGGTGCCACTCCCAGCTGGGACCTTGACGTCATGGGCCTGGAGTACAGCCTGGGCATCCCACCACCCCTGACAGTCCTGTTCAGCCCTGCAGGTGCCCACCCCCCACACCTGGGAGAGGTACTGCAGCCTTCCCAGGTCCTCACAGTCCAGGTGCCTCTTGGAGCCGACCACCTCGTCCACTTCGGCCTGCAGCCTGCGAGGAGACAGCCAAGTCAGGTCCCTGAGAGGGTGCCCACGGGGGTAGGAGAGTCAGTGGGTGGAGGAGGGAAGAAGCTGGGGTCCACCAGACTCTGCCCTGCCTGGCGCTGACAGGCCAGCATGCCTCCAGTCCAAAGGGCAATGTGGTTTAGGAGCCTGGTGGCACAATGGCTGGACTCTGGGCTGCCAGCTGCAAGGTCAGCAGTGATACCCCCGCCCCCAAGCCGCCCCATGGGAGAAAGAGGAGGCCGTGTGCCCCTGTCAAGCTGGACAACCTCGGCAACCTGATACAGCAATGCTATGCTGTCCGACAGGGTTGCTATGAGTCAGAATCGGTCAGACAGATTTCCAGAGGCCTGGAAGCATCCTCCCCTTCCTTGGCTCTCCTCGGGTGGTCTGGCATTGAATCTGACTCAGGTTGGCCCCATGGGCTCGAGTCGAACCGCCCCTGGGGTTTCCAAGGCTGTCATCAGAGGGAACTAGATGGCTCACTCATCTTTCTCCAACGGAGCAGCTGGGGTTCACACTGAAGGCCTGTCCGTTCACAGCCAAGCACTTAACCAGTGCACCACTGGGGCTGCTACCTTTGCAGTCTGCTGCACGGAATCTGCTGTGGGAAATTCGTGCCGCACATCACAGAGCTGGTAACTGCCACAGGCAGGTCACACGGACCTAGCCAAGTGACGCTGAAGACACACAATGACCATCGCAGTATGGAGAGTTCATGGTGGCCTGACTGACCCATGAGGAACTTGGGGCCACGGAAATGCTGTATGTCATGCTCCCTACTCTTGTGTGGATTGAACATGGTCCCCTAGCAAGACGTTTTTAGCAGATGGATTTGGTTTCTCCAAGGCGACATAGTAAGCACGTGGCCCAACATCACAAAAACCACTGCTGAGCGCACTGCCACTCACAGGGCCCACAGGACAGAACAGAACTGCCCCATAGGGTTTTCAAGCAGACGGCCTGCTCTTTCTCTCTCGGAATAGCTGGTGGGTTCAAACCTTTGACCTTTTGGTTCACCGCCCAGTGCTTAACCCACTACGGCACCTCGGCTTCTCCCACTCCACTCGTCATGTAGGAAATGCACGTCAAGACCACCGGGAGGTGCCACCCCACGCCCACCGTTGGAAAGCACCCAGAGAGCCGAAGTGCAGGAAAGAGGATGATGATGCAGGAGGTCCCCACACAGCACCGTACGGCTGGCCCTCCCAAAGTTAATCAGGGGACTGCCACACCAAAAATGCCTGACCCACCGCCATCCAGCTAATCCCGACGCAGAGCGACCAAGTGCAGGGGTTCTGAGACTGCAAATCTTGCTGGGAGCAAACGGCTTTGTATTTTCTTTTGGGGTGCTGGTGGGTTGGAACCGCTGACTTTGCAGTTAACAACCCAACCCCTAACCCTATATGAGCCAGCAATCCCCCTCCTCGTCCATCCCAAAAAACTGAACATAGGGGTTTGCACAAAAGCTTGTGCATGAATGTTGTAGCAGCATGACTGATAATCGCCCCAAGGCACAGGACCAGCCAAGGGCTATGTACCCATCATCCTATTATTGCTCAGCCATTAAAACAGGTGATGACTCGGATGGGCCTTGAAAAGCTCTCAAGGACAAACACTAGGTGACTCCGCTTGCCTGGGCTGTCAGCAGCAGGTAAAGGCATCGAAGCACCAAGTAGACCCACGTCCCCGGGGTTGGTGCACGGAGGGACAGTGATTGCTCACAGCCTTCCATTTGGGGGACAGGAAAAACGTTTGGAAGTAGGCCAAAGGTGGGGGCTGTATCAAAGCCATTGAAGTGGATACTTCTCACTGCAATAGAGTTGATGCCAACGCATAGTGACCGTACAGGACAGGATAGAACTGTGAGTTTCCGAGACTGACTCTTTAAGCAGAGTGGAGAGCCTCGTTTTTCTCCTGAGGAGCAGCTGGTGGTTTTGAACTGAACCATTGGGCATCTACTGGTCACCACAAAGCAACCAGGGCTCCTGAAGTGGGCACTTAGACTGCAGGGAAAAGACACATTCTATCCCGATGTGTTTGATTTCAAAACTGGGAAGCAGTGGGTTGAGGGAGTGGCTGCAGTCACTCGGGCGATAGGTCACTCGTGAATCAAAGCCGCTGGAAGGTCAGGGAGGAAAACCCACCGCAGTCCTGAGCTGGGCAGCGAAGGGCGGAACAGAAATCCATGGGGGCGGGGATCAGTGAGTTGGTGGCCCAGGGGCACTGTGGGAGGGTTCTTTCTGATCTCAATTGGTTTAACTTCCCTGCCTTCCCTATTGCTTTGAAAGAGCACATTGCTACTATATTTAAAAACACACCAGGAACTATGTTGTGCTCACTGGAGGCTTGCTTCCCTGGGGCCCTTTTGTGCTGAGTGACAGACACACTGTGCCAGGGCCTCGCCCCTGAGGCTGCCGCCCCCACGCCCCTCCGCAGTCACCAGGCCGGGTGAGTCGGCAAAGCAGGCCCTGTGGGAAGCTGCTCTCCACGCAGCCAGCATATGGGGGGGAGCGGGGGGCAAAGGCACTCTTCCCCAGCTTCAGCTCCCTCTGCTCCATGGGGGGCTCTGTTCTCAACAGGGGCCCCTCCCTGCCACGTGGGAGAGGGAGGGAGGCGAGGGGGAGGGAGGGAGGCGAGGGGCCAGGTCCCTGCCCTCCTGGAGTTTAAAGTCAACAATTCCAAGAGAAAATGCCCGAGCTGTCTCAGAAGTATGGGCAGAGTGCTCCTGAGAGGCTCGCATGTCTGATACTTGGGATATGTGATCAGGAGAGCTCAGTCCCTGGAAAAGGACATCACACTTGGTCAAGTGGAGGGGCAGTGACAATGAGGAAGGCCCTCAGGGAGATGGACTGACTCGGGGGCTATAACGAGGGCTTCAGGCATAAGAACACTTGTAAGGATGGCACGAGACCAGGCATGGTTTGTTCTGTGCTGCATGGGGATCACTGGCGGTGGGACCTGACTGGACTGAACCTGCCAGCAGCAGCAGTGTGACATTTGGAGGTAGATCTCAGGTTGCAGTCAGGGTCAGTGTCTCCAGAGCAGTGGTTCTCAACCTTCCTCATGCCGCGACCCTTTAAGACAGTTCCTCATGTGGCAGTGACCCCCAACCATCAAGTGATTTTTCTTGTTACTTCATAACTGTCGTTTTGCTACTGTTATGAATTGGGCAACCCTGTGAAAGAGTCGTTCAACCTCCACAGGGGTTTGGACCCACAGGTTGAGAACTGCTGCTCTAGCGGAAGAGGAGGGGAAAGAAGAGGAGACAGAAATGGGGGAGGAGGACTGTGGAGCGGGGGAGGCAATGGGAAGAGGGCATGGACAAGGACGAGGATGAGATGGATGAAGGGGAAGGGTAGACCATGGAGCAGAAGGAAGAGGAGAAAGATGAAGTGGGGTTGGAGAAGGAGAAGAGGAGAGAGTAGAGGAGGAGGAGGAGGAGGAGGAGGTGATGTGTTCTCAGGAGGAGAACAGGAAGGAACATTTCAGACATGCCAACAGTGGGGTGTCCGGAGGCAGGAACCCTGGACAGGGTCCCTCAAGGCAGCAGCAGGTGGCCTTGGGGGACCCTGCCTGAGGGTACCCATGGCCAGCCTGTACCTGGCCACAATCTCGGGCTGGCGTGACAGCTCCATCACAGTGAAAGCCAAGTGGTTGGCAGAGGTCTCGTGGCCTGCGGGCGAGGAGGAGAGAGACAGCTCCACACGGGGCCTGGGGCCGCCTCCCCCAGTCAGGGTCACCACCCACGGAAGCTACCAACCGGCAATGAAGAAGGTGACAAAGTTGTCCAGCAGGATCTCATCATCCTGGGCGTCCTCTTCAGCTGAGGGACAAGGCAGAGGCTCAGCCTGGCCCCATGGGGCCCCAGCTCCCTTCCCCAGAGCTCCAGAAAGAGCCCTGGGCCTTTCCCAGACAACCCATGCCAGCGTGGCCTGGAGGCTTCCCGCCCCCTCGTGGGGGTCGACGCACCTTTGAGGATCTGGGTGAGGATGTCCGCGGGGACGTCCTCCCCCCTCTTCAAGGCCTCCCGGCGCCGCTGGACCCAGTCCTGGCCGACCTGGCGCAGAAATCGGATGCTCTCCCGGATCTCTCGCAACTGCTTCCGCTTGCCTGGTAAGAACTAGACCGGGGTTCCGGCCCAGATGGCCGACTGAACACCCACGCCTCCTCTCTCCTCCCCTGCACCCCTTCCAAAACAAGCCCAGGAGGCCAGGAGCAGGTGAGAAAGTTCTAGCTGAGTGGAGGCGGCTAGAGAGACCTGGTTAAGGGGAAAAGCCTGAGCCCAAACACCAACCTCCCCTTCCTAGACCAAGCCCAGAGAAATGATGGCGAGGGCCCTTAATCATCTCCAGGGAGCAACAGGAAAGGAGGAGGGGTCTCTGCAGGAGGTGGGCAGGGAGACTTTCACAGAAGGAGGAAACTTCAGGCCGAGTGGTGTGGCCTCAACTGCTCGGGCTAATTCCGGGCCATGCGAGGACTGCAAGCTCAGAGGCTGAAGGGCAGGCGGGGAAACCTGGGCACCACCACCTGAGAGAGGGACCATCTCCTCCCTTCCTTCCTCCTCCTTTATGCCTGGGACGAGGAGAGGATGGCTGGAGCTGCGGCAGTCACTGTGTGACCATGAAGTGACACGCTAAGGACAGTGGACCAGAAAGACAGCCAAGCCCGGGAACATCTGGCACCGGGGTGCCATCCCAGGTGGCCTGGCTTGGGGATGGTTGTGCAAGGAAGAAAGAGCCACTCCTCGTTTACGTCAGTCATTCCATGGTGAGCCGCTGCGGGAGATGAACCCAAATCCTGGCTGACCGACTCGGGGAGGACAAAGTCTCCCCAGAGAGACCGGGTCTCAAAACCCACTCTGAGAAGAGAACTGCAGGAGGTGCCCCAGCAAGTGGAGACAGTGGCTGGTCGCTGGAGGGAGGCACGGCTCAGGCGGTACCTTAGCCAGGGTGTTGCGTGACGCGGTGATGCCTTCCAACATCACTCTGACCGCTCGGGGTAGAGGCTTCTGGGCATCCAGCAGCATGCTGGTCTCCATCCCGAAAGCTGCCTAGGGGAGAGAGATGAGCCAGCTCATGCCTGGGGGGTGGGGAGCCAGCAGGTCCAGAGCAGAGCCTGGTGCCAGGCCGCTGGAGACCCAAGCCCTGAGCTGAAGGGTTTTCAAGCATCATCTTATCCACTATAGCAACATCCTGTGATGAGCAGAATACTGTGGGTGCAGTAGACATTAAAAGCACCTAGTAGCTACTCAATAAACCTTGGTTTCCTTCCTTGACAACATGAACTTCCCTGGAAGCACCACCTTCCTCAGGTGCCCAGTCTATACCCAACTGTACCACGGATTGCTTACACAGCTGCAATGGTTCCACCTATCCTTCACCCACTGGGCCCACACTCAGCTGCCTGGGCTGCCTCTCTGTGAGTCCAGATTTATCTGGGCTCTTCCGGAGCCAGCCAGGTGGGCAACCAAACCACGCCCCACTGGAGGTGGGGTAAGTGTTGGGTCCCTCATCAAGGCGACTCGAGGTCAAGCCCGGCTTAGGCCCCTAACTAGCCACTAACTAACGGACCAGGCTCTGTGGCTGTCTCTCGGTGACCAGGGCAGTGTGTGCTCCACCCTGCTCTCACTGCTCTGGACTGCTTTGAATATCCACGGAGCTCAGAAGCGTGATGCAGCAGCACACTGGGGTATGGAGGGTCGGTGGTGGGGTGGGGTGGGATGGCAGGGGAAAGGAGAGTGGGTGGTAGCTACATAATCTATTGTCAATTTGAGACTTAAGAGTGAAAGGGTGGAGCTTAGCCTATCAAGTTGCAGCTTGATGACCTCATTTGGAGGCGCTAAGGAGGTACATTGTTTGCTGGAGGTGGGACACACACTCACTCCTTGGGAGACACGCTTGCTGACAAGACAACATGGAGCTACACTAGAGCCTTGGAGCTGGAGGAGCCACGTGGAGACCCGTCAGCCTTGAGATGCCTCTTCCACCACTGGATCCACAAGACTTTCCACCCACTGGCCTGTGATCTTCCTGCATTTGGCATCATTGCATGTGTTGTGTGAGTCTGAAGAGGAATTTATAGATTGGGATCAGACATATGGACTAATATTGGACTGATGAACTTGATCTGGACTGGCCCGGGATGTTTTCTCAATAGACAATTGCTCTTGTATTTAAAGCTCTTTCTTATGCACAGATGAGTCTCCATGGATGTGTTTCTCCAGTCCACCCAGACTGACACAGAGAGAGAGAGAGAGAGATGACTCCGCCAGCCACCCCACATGACGTCACCTTAGCCAGAATGTCCATGGTAGTGCAGGTCAGCATGTCCTGCATGGACACCGGGGTCTGCCCATCGGCCTTGGCCTCCAGAATCTCCACCAACTGCTCAGCCTTCTCGTTGAATGTTGCCATCAAGCTGACCAGGGAGCTGGGGGACAGCAGAGGTGTCAGCGGCCACCAGGACCAGCCCCACCCTGCAGGCTCTGCCTGCCACCTCCACCCCCAAGAGAAGTTCCTGTCCTGCTCGTCAAACGTCAGCTCACCAGACCCTCTCCCTTCAACTTCGCCCCAGGGTTTCCAAGACTGGAAGCCTTTATGAGAGTAGACGGTCTCATTTTTCTCCCTCAGAGTGGCTGGTGGATTTGAACTGCTGACCCTGCAGTTCTTAGCCCAACCACCTAGCCCACTGTACCACCAGGGCTCTGAAAGCTATGCCCAGGTTTGTACATTTCTTTGCCACTCAGGACAGACATGCATTTGACCTTGTCTTTACAGCTCCACGGAGCTTCTGCAACCAGAGCCCCTTGGACTCTGCCCCCAGGAGAGGGCTGTGTAAACATTCCGGGTGGCAGTGGGAAGAAATGGAGGAAAGGTCTCTGGAGACTACGAGGACCGATGGAACCCCGGTGCCCCTTCTCCCACCGCCATCCTCCTTACCTGCCCTTCCCAGCCTTCCCCACCCCCATGCACAATGGTCCCATCATTGTACTCCCTCTCCCCGGAAATGAAGATTCCCTCTGCAGCCTACAGCTCCCCAAACACCGCGGCCCTCTGTCCCTAGACAGTGTCCCCTGGTGGTCTCGGAGCCGCAGAGTGTATTTAGAAAGAGGTATGGAAGGATGCGCTCCGAAGTCCTGGAAACAGCAGCCCCGAGGGAATAGGGCTAGGATGCAACTGTTACCTTGTGTGGGAATGACGTATCTCTGGACTGACCAAATCTTTGCTAAGAGAGTAAGTAGCACACTACTTCTGTAGCTGAAAGTAATTATTTAATGCTAGTCATCTGGGTAGAAAGGGGATATGGCACTATCTGTTTCCCTTTGTAGACCTGAAATTCTTTCTAAGTACAAGGGCTTGTTTCTTTCTAAGTCCAAGGGCTTGTTTTAATGGAAAAGAAAGGAATGGGAGAAGACGAGGGATGAAGGGTCATTTTTTTAAAACCAGGGGAGGAATCCAGCTCTGTATTTCCCATAGGCCAGCCCTGCTCAGGTTCCAGGGCCCTGGTGTTGTGGCCCCAGCCCAGCCCCTGCGGCACATCTCCTATGTCCAGGGCTGGCCTGAAAGCAGCTCTGGTCCCATGACCCTTCTCCCCCTCATCATGCTCTGAAGCGCCCTGCCACCTTTGCGAGACAGGTGAAGCCTTGCAGACTCCCATCCTTAGTTGGGCCTCCCTGCTGCCACCTCCCAAGCATCCTGCCCCTTCCATCTCTCGCCCACGCCACCCCCTGCCACCACCGGGGATTGCACACCAACTTCTCTGCTGGGACCATGCTTCCCCCCACCCTCCACCCTCCGATGGGCCTGGTAACCGTGACACTGCTGCCTGGCTACTCTGCCGACAGTCACGCTCATAGCTGCTCTCTCGCTGCCCAGGTAGGCCCAGTCGGTGCCCCCCACAAACCCCCTGGACCACTGTTTTCCCCATTTTTGCTTCACAACACAGACAAGGCTGGCAGCTCTGTGTTTCTTTAGAAGATTCCATGTAGCTGTTGCTTAAGTACCATTTGAGTTGACTAGCTGGATTTCAGGAGAAAGACGAGGCTTTCTACTCCTGTGAAGATGACAGTCAGGGAAACCCACAGGGCAGTGCCACCTGTCCTGTAGGGTCGCTGTGAGATGGGCTTGATGACATTGAGTTTGTTTTTTTTGGTTTTGTTTTATTTTTTCTGGATTGCACGAGGTGGGTTCTACTGCCGATGCCAGGCCGGGTCTGCGAAGGTTCTCACTATTAAACATTTCCTTCATGCTGAGCGGAATCTCTCACCAGTTTGCTGGGCTGGGGGTGCCAGACATTCAGTAGGACCCCCACCTGCTTGCCTTTCACAGAAAGAATCAGGACCAGGGTCTCGAGTGAAAAACGGACACTGGCCTATCTCTGGGCCAGCTTCATTTCGGATAGACAGTGTGAGCTCCTGTGGACCTTGTGCTTGGCCGCCCCCCTTCTAACCCCGTGCACCCAGGACCCCTCCGCTCTCGGTACAGAACACATCAAAGAACCCCCTCCGTCTTGTCTCATTGTACCCAATGTCACCTCCCGTAACTTTCGGTAAGACCACGATTATTCTAACCCCTCCACTGACTCATCTGTCTGTTCGCTCTGCGGGGAGGGTAGGGTTAGGGTCCTGCCTTCAAGGACCAGTGGCTCAATGGAGGAGGTAGGTGTGAAGGGCAGTTGATGCTGGGGATGTAAGAGGGACATGTGGGGGACAGGGTACACATGAACCCTTAGGAACCAGGGAAGCCAAAGTGTGGTCCATGCATACAGGAGAATATCATCCAGCCACAAAAAGAAATCAAGTATTGATCCACATGACCCCAAAGCCACCGCCATCGAGTGGATTCTGACTCGCAGCGACCCTGCTAGGTCTCTGGGACCGGAATTCTTTACCGGAGTAGATGGCCTCATCGTTCTCCTGTGGATTCAAACTGTTGAGCTTGTGAATAGCAGCCTGGATTAAGAGCCCAACACACAGTGCCACCTGGACCCCTGACACACACTTCAGAACACTGCCGTGAAGGGACGGATCAGGGGGCGCGTGTGTGCACACACACACACACACACACACACGCACACGCACACGCAAACGCACACACGCACTCGCATACCTCTCTGTCCTCTTTCCACTCTCCCTCCAGCCTGATGAGCCCCTCAGGTGAGGTCGCCCCTGCCCTAGGCCCCCTGTCCAGGGCAGCCCAGCACCACCTCTGCTCAGCCATGGCCCCGGCGCCCATCTGGGCCACTCACCTTCTGCTGAAAGCCAGGTCCATGACCCTGCGCTGCTTGTGCCAACGCTCATAATCGCACTCGGACACTAGGCCCTGGCCGAAGAGTCTGCAGGACAGAGATGGGGCAGAGGGACAAGGCTGCAAATCAGCATGGAGCCCCCTTAGGGGCAATGGGACATTCTGGAACAGCGGTGAGTGAACAGGTGCGGCAGGATCTTGTCCTTGGGAACGGGCAGCGTGGAATGGCTTAGGGGATGTAAACGCTACCACAAGGTCACTGCTTGTCCCCTCCCATCCCCCCTGCTCCACCTGAATCAGGAGAGGGGGCGTAGGGGAGGAAGGCGACAGTGAGAGGCAGGTGGCCACCCTTCCTAAGACACCCACAATGGCCTCGGGCCTCCTGCTGCACCCTGTGCTCCCTTGGGACCCTGCTGTCCGTTTTCCCTTCCAGCCCGCCCAGCCTCATACCTCTCACCAAACACCGTCTGGATGGCGCGGTACATCTTGAAGTCCTTGTTGTACTTGGTGGACATCAGGAACTTCTAGCCAAACGGAGGAAAGCTGAGATGAGCTCACACCCGGACACCTCACACACCCAGCCTGCTTCGGGTCACACCACGACAGGCTCAGCTAGGGAAGAAAGGCTCAGAGGGGGCTGAGGTGGGGGTCCCAGCCCAGAGCCACACCAACCTCCCAGCTACACCACTTCCCACTGCAATGAGCCCAGGAAGGCAACGCGGAGGAAGGTGACACCAGGAAGGAAATCAGGAGAAGCTTCCTGGAGTAGGCGTCAGCCTGTCATCCTGAGAGCTGAAGGGTCAGGTGGTCCCCCACCGCCGTTGCGAGTGCCCATGGTCAGTGTCGTAGCCTGGCTAAAGGCGTCTGAGGCAGGGCAGGCTGGGGTAGCAGCTTGGGCTGTGGAGCCAGCTAGCTCCAGTTGGAATCCAGGCCCAGAACTCAGCACTCCGTTTGGGCTCACTGCCTCTGCCCCTCAGGTAGGTCCCTGGCCTTCCAAGACGGGGTGAGGCCAGGACGAGGGACTGGCCCTTACCTGGACAGTTCTGAGAACAGTGCCTGCAGACGAGGGTTCACTCAGGGACGGGTGTCCTCCTCAGACTGTGCTGAATGCTTGTCAGCCCTCACCAGGGGCCCCCGGACACACCCAGGGTGCATGGTCGGGGTGGGGAGTGGGCCCCAACAGTGGGATGTGGTGAAGGGTATGATCCTGACCTAGGCAGCAGGACAAAGGGGGTAGGGCATATGCCATCTCAAGGTACGTCAGGCAGCGACCTGCCCTGGGGACACTGGGAAACAGGTGGCACTGGGCTGAGAATGAACTCGAGGTTGGTGACCCCTGCAGTGTGACCCTGGCCAGGGGCATACGCCATCACATCTCAAGGTACACACAGGCAGGGAGAGGTCTGCCCTGGGGACACTGGGCTGCACCTGGACTCAAGGTAGCCAATCGCTGCTGTGTGCTCCTGGGGTTCTGCATTAACTTTTCAGTTGAAAGAAAACTCTGGAAGAGCCTAACCTTCCCCGAGCACCATCATTGATATCAGGTCGTGTCACTCCCCTGCACCTGCCCGCTGTCCTCGTGTGGGGGGAAAACTATGCCAGTCAAGCCCTGCCTCCCAGGCCCTCACGGAGCCCCTGAGCTGTGGTCTGAGGAGACATGCCCCCAGCTGGACTGAATGAAGCACCACACAGCTTCTACCAGTGTCTCCATGCTGGTATCCTCATGGTCAGTGTCCCCATGGCCTGATGTCTCCATGGTTGGGTGTCCTCATTTTCAGGTGTCCCCCATGGTCAGCTATCTCTACAGCCAGGGGCCCCACTGTCAGGTATCACCCATGACCCAGTATTTCTGTGACAGGGTGTCATCCCCACAGAGAGGTGTCCCCATGGATGGGTGGTCCCACAGTTCGTGTCCCCCATGGCCAAATGTCCTCACACTCAGGTGTCCCCATGGCAATGTCCCTGTGGCCTGATGGCGCATGGTCAGTGTCCCTGTGGCTGGGTGTCCCCACAGCCAGGTATCTCTGTGACCAGGCATCCTCTGTGGCCAGGAGCCCCAGGATGGGGGAGTGAGAGATGCATGGAGAGTCTCTCGCTCATCTCCCTGGTCTCCCACAGAGATGGGCAGCACAGCCTGCCCGCCCACCATAAACAACCAGAAATCTGGAAGAAGATACGGATGTCTGGTTTTCCACACTGGATGGCAGCAGGGCAGGACCATCAATTCTGAGATTGGGGTAGGCAGTGGTGTGAGTGCTACAATCACCACAGCTAGCCCTGGAGGTAATTTCAGGACTCTGACAGAAAGGGCAGGGCCCCAGCTACAGTCCAGAAGCACGCTGATCCCATGAAACGCAGGTCAGGGGCCAGGGTGACCAAGGGAGGCTGGAGTGTGCAGGGCAGAGTACCAGAACAGAGGGAGCTGGGCCCAGAGGGAGCCCCAATATCTGCATAGGCATCCCCTCGAGTCTGTGTATAAATATCAGCCCCCACCCCGTAGGATGAAACTTTCCTACGAAAGGATAATTACTTGGTGACTCTGGGCTGAACAGTTTCCCGAGCTTATAGCTGACCAAGAACTAATCAAGATCCCAACTGCCAGCGGTCCCCCGACACCAGGCCTCCAACATGCGCAAGGCAGACACGGACAAACGGAAAGGAGAAATGGACAAACCCACAATGATGGTAGAAGAGGTCGATGTTCCTCTCCCCGTAACAGAAAGAATGAGCAGATACCAAATTAGTAAAGATTTGAAAGGTTTCAATAGTGTTATCAACCAACTTGGCCTAAATTACTGAAACACTCCATTGGGCAATTACAGAATATACATTCTTTCTAAGTACTCATGAACACTCAACAAAATAGGTCACATGCGGGGCCATCAAACAAGTCTCTTGTCAATTTCAAACCTTTAAAGTCTCAAGACACATATTCTCTGACTTTCACCGAATTAAATTAGAAATCTCCTACATACAGATATATAGAAAATCCTATAATACTCCTGTTAAGACATTAAAAATACATACCCTGTGAAGCTAATTCATGATTCAAAGAGGAAATCATGAAAGAAATTGGAGTGTATCTTGAACTGAATGAAAATTAAAGCACAACCTATTAAAATGTGTATGGAATAGAGTTACTACAGTACCTCAAGGAAATCTATCTAGCTAAATAAAACTATGTAGCTCTGGAAGCTAGATGCTTCTATGAGAAAATTTTAAAGGTCAAAATCAATGACCTAAATTCTCACCTTAGGAAATTAGAAGAACAAACTAAGTCCAAAGTGAATAGAAGGAAGAAATAATAAAGATACAAACAAAAAACAATGTAATAGAAGAAAATTAATAATAAAAAACCCTGGTTGTTATTAAAAAAATTAATAACACTGATGAGCTTTTGGTGAGAAGAGAAATCAAGTTCCTGTCTCAGGAATGAAATTGGGAGCATGGTTATAGATTCCACAGAGCACATCAAAGAGGCAAGAAGGAAATATTATGAACTTAATACTGATCATTTCAATAATTTAGATGAAATGAACAAATTCCCTAAACCACCCAAATTACTAAAAAGAAAAGTGAATGGTGTTCTACCAATCAAACAAATGGAATATCTAATTAAAAAAAAAACTCTTCCATCAAAAAGCACTACACTCCCGGATGGCTCCCCAGGGTAAGTCCACCAAACACTTAAGGAAGAAATACACCAGTCCCATGCAGGCTCTTTCTGAAACCTGCAGAGGGGAAAGACTTCCCAGCGCGTCTTCAGGGGCCGGTAGGAAGCTAATAGCAAAGCCAGACAGAGACCGGTCAAGAAAAGAGTACATGTAGGAGCCAAAACACCTTGACAAAAGGTTAGCAAACTGAACCCGGTGGTTTATAGCAAAGAGAAGACGTCATCAAGACAAAGCAAGGTTGATATGACCCTGGATTTTCAACCACTGCAGCCCCCACCTTCCTATCTTCTCCTTTCTCGGAGCTCAAAGCTTCCTGGGAGCCTGGATGCTCACTGCTATCAAGTCGATTCCAACTCACATCAGTTCGCTCCCCTTTTGCTAAGGGTGAGTTAGTGAATTGTGCCAGCCTGGCCGATAATCACATGTGGGGCTGGTTGAAAGGCGGAGGGATAAATGGGTGGTGAAGCCTCG